AAATCGTCCGTTTTGGGTTTGAAATGTATTACTTGTCATCCTCTACGACGCCATAGTCCGTGGCGGAGGGGGAACCGCCGTGACGGGCGTCGACGCGGGCTCCCTTGGCTCCGCGTTGCCCTCGAGCAGCTCGCGCCGCCACTCGCTGCGCGGCGTCGTGTCGGGGCCCGCACCTGGTACGCGGAAGCCCTCGACGACAAAGACCGCGGGGACCGGCGGGACCGGCGGGAGCCCGCCACTGCTTCCGCTGCCGCCGCCGCCGCCCTGGCGAAAGTACAGCCCCGAAGTATCCAGCGACGCAGCGCGGCGCGACGGCGCCGGCGGCCCCGGCCCCGGTCCCGGCCCACCGAGCAATCCCGACGACGACGTCGACATCTGCGCCGCGCCCGCGGCCCCGAGATGCATCCCGGACCCGAGCAACCCGCCACTCGCCGTCCCGCGCAACTGGATCGTCGACTTGCGGCGGCGCTGGCGCTCGGACGCCTCGAGGCTGTACCTGCGGTACGCCGTCGGGTCGGCGAGCGGCATCGGGCCGGGCGACACGCTGCGCGGAGCCGCGCGCCGCCGCGAGTGCGCGCGCGCCAGGTACGCCAGGTACAGCGCGTCAAAGTCCTCGGTCGCCCCCGGCTCGGACGTCTGCGGCCACCCCGGGTACCGCCCGCCCGCGGGCGTGGGGACCGGGAGCGGCGGGACGGGTGGGATGGGCGCGGCGCCGCCGGAAGTGTGGGGTGTGGTTGGGATCGGGATCCCCGCGGCCATGGCGGTGGCTGCTGCTGCGGCGGCGGCGGCGGCCGCGGCCGAGATGTTGCTGGCGGTGGGACTCGCCTCGGCGCTTGCGGCGTGGAAGTAGTGTTCCGGGATCACGATGGTGCCCGCAGCGACGCTCACGCGGCGGCCGCCGGGCGCGACGAGCGGGGAGCCCGGGTGCGCCTGCTGCTGCGGGCGCTGCGTCGGCGTGCGTGGGCTGTGGAGCGCCGACGCGGACAGGTCCGGGGTGCCGAACGCCGAGACGGGTTTGGAGATGGGCGTGCCGGCTTTCGACGGCGGCAGGGGTTCCGCGGCGGCCACGGCGACGGACACGGACGTGTCGATGGGCGGGAGCTCGGGCCGCCCCGCGGACCCGGGCCGCGACACGCCAGCCTGCGTCGACGGCGGCGCGCGCTCGCGCAGCTGCTCCCACAGGGTACGGTTGACGGCGAGCTGGTCGAGGTACAGCTCGGTGCCGGGCAACACGTCGGCGAGGAGGACGAAGAAGGGCTGGATGATGATATCCGAGAAGTCGATGGACACTTTCGCCTGCTGGCACGCGGTGCGGTCCATGTTGGGCGAGACGGGGAGGCCGGCGGCGAGTTCGGCGTCACCCTGCGCGAAATGCTCGAGCTCCACGAGGTCGCTCCACCGCTTGCACAGCTCCCACGGGCGCACCGTGTTCGAGATGTCGGCCGCGTGCAGCAGCGCCTTGATCAGGCTCCGCCGCTGCGGCGCCTGCAGCAGCGTGTACTCGACGAGCAGCGGGTCGTCGTCGAAGGTGGCGGTCTCGGGCCCGGGGGCAAAGTCGCGCGAGCCGGACGCGGAGAAGGTGATGGTGGCACCAGTGTTGGTGTCGAGCCCGCCCTCGGCTGAGTGCGAGCGCGCAGCGAGCAGGACGGGCGCGGGCGCGGTGCTAATATCGCTGGCGGACGGCATCTTGATGCTGGGCAGCGGGGCCATGGAGACGGCGGGCGAGTCGTGCGAGCCGCCGAGGGCGTGGGCGAGCTGCGACGTCAGCACGCCCTGCGACGACAGGGACTGCGCGCTGCCGGCGGCGCCCTCGGCGAGTTTCGTCGGCGTGGTCTGGCCCGACGTCTCCTCGGGGAGGTCGCACAGGGCCTCGCCGGAGCGGTGGTCGCTGAGACTCGCCATGGAGAGCATGGATGCGGCCTTCTCCTCCTCGGCGAGCAGCATCATCTGGTCGTGCTGGAGAAGCTGCTGCGAGAGCTCGCCGAGCTCCTTGACGAGGAGGAAGTGTTTGCTCATGTCGGTGGCGAGGATCAGGTCCGTGAACAAGTCGAGGAACAGGTCGCGTGCCGCGGGCGAGACGGCGGCGAGGATCGCGTGGTCGGCGAGCAGCGCGCGGCCGAGGTCGATCGAGTAGTTTTCGAGCACCGACTGGTTGTTGTAGCGCACGGCGAGCTCGTGGTGCGTGGCGACCATGTACGCGTTATTGCGGCCCGGGTGGCCGGCGTCGTGGCACAGCGCGGCGAGAAAGACGGCGACCATCTCGAGCTCGGTCAGCAGCTCGGACGCGTGCAGCGTGAAGAAGGTGAAGAAGCACATGAAGGCCACGTCCACGGCGTGGCTGAAGTTGTGGTACGGGTTCGGCTCGTACTCTAGTTGGCGGAATGGAGTCAGCAGCGGCCTGCACTCGGCGAAATCCGACAGGCGGAGGAGGGGAACGTACTCGACTCGACGGCCACGACCCAGTCGAGCAGCGCGTCGTACGATATCCGCAGGAGCGACGGGATGCGCATGCGGCGCGCCATGGCGAGCACGAGCCCGAACTGCTCCGTCTTGGCCATGCCGACAATGTTGAGCCCAAACTCCATGATGTTGTCACCGACGGGCGCGTGCTTCTGCAGGGCCTACACTCAGCGCGCGCATGCGTGAGCCAGCGGCCCCCCAACGAGTGCCCGCAAGCGCGGCAGATCGGCACCGTACCCTCTCGACGGCCGCGAGATCGTCGGCGCTCAGCAACTTGGACGCGAGCGCGATCGCGGGCGAGCCCGGCGACGTCGCCGCCGCCGACGCATCGTTGAGGCTAGTCCAGGTCCCCCGGGTGGATCCGGGCCCGGACCGGGTCCCCGCGTCCGCGTCGGCGTCGGGCTCGACGATGACGACGGGCGACGCCATGCCGCTACCGCGAGATGTGCTGGCGCTTGCGGCGTAGGTGTAGTTGCCCGAGATGGTCGACAGAGTTGGAGCCGGGCCGGCGGGGTCCGCGGTCGCGGCCAGCGACGCCGGCGGCGGCGGCGGTGGTGGAGGCAGGGGCGGCAGCGGTGCCGCAGAGGTCGAAGTGGAATCCATGGTGGTGGTGGCCGTCGCGGGCTACGGCTTGATGAGCTGCATGAAGTCGCTGGAGGGGAGAGGGGAGCGCGGACCGGAGCCGAGGGTCGGGCAGAGTTTTTCCCTGCCTGCAGGTCGCGCGCTGCGCCATGAGGCTGAGGCCCGCCTGGCCGCCCAACTTAGGGTCGCTCGCTCCAAAGCGGCCGCCCTGCCACGCCGCGTATTGTCTCCCTCCCAACCCCTCCCATCACGTCGCGCGCGCGTCCAAACTTGGTCCTTGCATGACGAGACGCGTCGCGCGCCGGGAGACAGTCGCGCGCGGGGCGGTGGTCGCGGCGGCGGCGATGTTGCGGATCGAATGGGCGATATATGGAGCTAAATAGGGACACTGGTACAGCAACTACTATTTACGAGGGACGGCTTACCGGGCGTAGGGCGAAGTCTTCTTGCCCTTGCCCTCGGCGCGGCCCGATCCGCCGCGGAACGCCTTGGTTGCGGGCGAGGGCGCCGCCGCCGCGGCAGCCGGCTCGGGAGCAACGACGGCCGCCGACGACGCGGCCACGGCGTTGGCGGGGGTGATGGCGGGCGCCGCGGGGTTTGGCAGCCACAGGCTGAGCTTCGAGTCCTCGCCGCCCGAGATCATGCACCCCTTGGCAAAGTCGAGCGACGCCGACCGCACCACGTCCGTGTGCGCGTGCCCCGCGCTGAAGCACAGCTGCAGCTCGTTGAGCGTGACGTGCAGCACCGAGAGCGCGCCCCTACATGGTTGCAGGGCGGTTAGGTCCGGAGTGCATTAAGGCTGTGGAGCAACGAAGCGTACTCGTGAGAGCCGGTCGTCAGGAACAGCCGCTGCGCCGCTGCGTCGTACTGGCACTGGACCGCGTAGTTGATGGGCACCTCCTCGGTCGAGAGCTGCCGAATGTCGCCAAAGTCCTTGAGAAGGTCGCCCTACTCCACCGATGACACGTCAGCACCACTCTTCCGCGGAACAGCCTCGCAGTCCGTACCTCAGCCGACCACAGCGAGAACGTCTCGACGTGCGTTGTGAGCCACACAAACTCGCCCGCGGGGCCAAACCACCCGAGCTTGTTGACCGACGACCCGCTCTGCATCGACGCCACGAGATCCTCGTCTTCGTCCCACGTTGCGAGGTCGAACACGCACGCCACGCCGTCCGTCGACCCGCTCAGCAGCCGGTTCGCCTGCGTCGGATGGAACGCCAGAAGCGTCACGTCGTCGGCAAACGACTCGCTGAACGAGTGCTGGATCGCCGGCATCCGCGGGTCGTAGAAGTGTACAAACGCGTCGCACCCAGCGAGCTCGGTCCCCGCCGCGATCATGGTCCCCGCGGCGTTGACCGAGTGCGAGAAGAACGACTGCCGGTTCGGCACCTTCCACGCCTGCGCGGGCGAGACTGGCGCGCGCAGGTCCCAGCACAGCACGCTGCCGTCGTGCGACGACGAGAAGAGCAGGTTCGAGTCGGTCGGGTGGAACGACAGGCCCGAAATCGTGCCCGTGTGCCCCGTCAGGCTCCCCTGCAGGTTCAGCTGCACGTCGTACAGCTTGATCTGGTGGTTCGACGCCGACACGGCAACGTGCGGGCCCGAGCACGCCACGTCGAAGATGTACTCGTCCTCGACCGTGAACAGCACCTCCTTGGCCTTGGCCAGCGGCGGCAGGATTGGGACGTGCGCCAGCGTTGATGTCATGGGTATGTTACGTTGCAGCAAGTCGGTGGTGCCTGAGGGGAGGAGGGACCGCTGCGGCGGGAGCTCCGTCGACTTGGAGGCCCGCTGGGCCGCCGAGCCGCTTCCGTGACGGCTCGCCGATCCTCGCGCGCGATAACGTGATGAACGCCGAACGGCGTGGCGGCGATCATCGCGCCGGGCAAGCTGTCCTGCACGATGGCGGCGTTCCTGCGAGGTTTCCAGGTCGATAACTCGGTGCAAAAAGGGTGGTGCTCTAGGCGGGGCTCGAACCCGCAACCTCCGCGTCACTGTGCGTTATATATATGAGGAACGCTCATATAAGCACGGCGCACTAACCGATTGTGCTACTAGGGCGAGTGCTTCGCGTGTGCCCGACGGTTCTTGACCTGCTCCTAATCGGCACCCCTAGGTCACGCCGACATGACCGACGCGACCATCGTCAAGTGAAGAGCCGGTTCGATCGCCATACACTGAGCTCATGGCGAGCCTCACGATCGCGCTGACGTGGTTCTCTCGGACAGACGCGACCATGAGGTTCAGAACAGGGCTCCCGAGATCATGCGAGCATTCCCATCGCGCTGACGAGGTTCTCTCGAGCATTCAGGAGGAAAATGGATTGAGGAGAAAAACTGGTTCGAGACGTCTTATTTTGATGGAAAACAACAACCACTGTACACACGCTCTTGCTGAGAAGCTTACAGGCCGAGGAGGGCGCCGAGACCGCCGAGCGCACCACCGGCACGCTTGGGCGCGGGCGCCGCGGCACCAGCAGCCGGAGCAGCACCGCCCGCACCAGCAACGGAGCCGCCCGACGCGAGCGCGGCCGCGGCCACCTGCGGCGACGCCTGCTCGACGGGGACACACCCGCCAAACGGCCCCGCCACGGCGTTGTTGCGGCACCGCACCATGCACATGTTGCCGCTGGCGCCGCCCGTACACTGCATGTTGGCCGGCATCATCACCACCAGGTCGTGCGGCGACTTGTTGCCGAGCGGGTTCGTGCCCAGCACGCCCGCCACGTTCTGCGCCACCTGCACCTGCTGGAAGTCGTTGCCCGTGCCGTCCATGGAGATGTCGCACGCGAACGGGCCCGCGCCGTCGGCGTTCACCTGGTGCAGCGTCAGCTTGAGCGGCATGTTGGGCGCCACCTGCGGCAGACCGCCCATCTCCTGCGCGATCTTGGCCACGCCCGCCATGTCGTTGTTGCCGCCCGCGATCGTGCGCCCGCACGGACCCGACCGGCCCGACCGGATCTCGCCGTCGCGGATGATGGACGTGTCCGTCTGGAACGGGTTGCGGCCCGTGCCCGTGCGCGGCACGCTCTCGAGCACGCCGAGCGCCTTGCCCTGCGGGCCCGCGATGCCCTGCGCGCCAACGATGGCGCCGTGCGCGTTGACCGAGGTGGCCGCAGTGGCGAGGAGCGCGAGGAGGACGGTGGTGGCGGTGAACTTCATCTTGATGTGTAGGGTGATGTGGGGGAGGTAGCGACCAGCGCTCGTTCTTGGGATTGGGATTGGTTGGTGAGGAAAGACCTGCTTCTGTCGAACAAGTCGAGAGGATGGCGGGGGCGAGCGAGAGATTTATAGCAGGACTCGTCGCAACGGCGGGGCCCAGGCCATGCTGGTCTCGGCCGCTCCACGCTTGTCCGCAGCGTATTGCATCGAAAATGAGCGCGCCGTTGCGTTTGTCCGCGACAAAGCCCAGATCAATTCGGGCAGTGGCTGGCCGAACAGCAAAGCGACGTCACCAGCGAACAAGCCACACGTTCACGCCGACTCAGCCACATTCGAGACGCGTCGCGTTATCACGTGGAGCGGGGGAGACGCGTTTGTCTCCCTCCGTCGTGTTCGCCGCGTTTGTTTCAGCGACCGTGTGACGCATCCATGTAAAGTGGCACTATCTGCAACGTAACCGAAGAACCACTCGCTGCATCGGCGTCCATGAAACCATGTCGTCGTCGTCACGGCCCAACACGGGCAGGCTGACCGTGCCGCGGGATGACGCGGGCGGCGGCGCCGGCGATGAAAGCGGCGCATCGAGATCCGCTGAAGCTACTATCTCAAACGGCGCTCCTGAAGGCGCGCTCCCGCTCGCCGCCCCCATGGCGAGCATTCTGAGCGCGAGCGTCGCGGCGGTTCAGCCCGAGGACGAGTCGTTTGTCGACGAGGACATTCTCAACTCGGGTCTGTTCAACATCGAGGCGAGCAGCGCCTTCAAGTTCCTCGATTCGCTCAAGTCCAAAGAGCAGATCCCGGCGGCTCGGTGTGTATGCCCTCGCTACTCGACCAACGTGAGCGATCGCTGACGCTGAGAGTTCGTAGCGTCGAGGAGCTCAAGCAGCGACACCACACGCTGTACCAGTTCATCCTCACGGCCTTCGAGTATGAAAAGGCCATGATCAAGAAGACCAAGGCCCTCCAGGCCGAGGTCACTAAACAGCGCCTCGAAATGGACAAGACGGGCGCCAAGGTGTACGATGACAACGCCGAGATCGGCGAGCTCAAGCGCGAGCTGCTGCGCGTACGTCGGTGTTGCACTTTCGCGTTCCACTTCCTCCCCCCTCACGCGCCGTCGCGAGTGTAGTGCCAGAACGAGGTGGTCCTCGCCCACGAGCGCGAGGCCAAGTACAGCGTCGAGATCGAGGAGGCGCTGATCACCAAGGAGTCGCTGATCGAGGACATCGAGGAGATCCGCCGGCACAAGACGGACATGCTCGAGCCGCAGCTCGTCGCCAACACCAAGGAGATCAAGCTCGACCTGATCCAGCGCAAGCACCAGGCCGAGAACCTCGAGAAGGACCTCGAGGAGAAGGAGCAGATCTACGAGAATGTGACCAAAGACAAGGAGCGGCTGCTCGCCGAGCGCGAGCGCAACGAGATCACGCTCGCCAAGGCCAACGAGATGCCGGGCAAGATCATGAAGCAGGCCGAGGTGCTCCGCGACGGCATCGCTAGTCTCGTCATTGAGAACGTCAAGCAGACCCAGCTCGCCGCGCAGCTCGAAAAGGACATGGAGAAGCTGACCAAGCGGAGGAAGGTACGTCCGCTTGCTCGCCGCGCGACGTCGTCGGCTTATCGCGACCTGACCCGGTTTCGCGATCGTGTAGGACCTCGAAGACGAGAAGGCGAGCCACGCGGCCGAGTTCGACCGGCGCAAGGAGGAGATGCTGGAGCGCGAGCGCGCGTGCGACGAGATCTTCCACGAGCACGAGATGGCCAAGGACCTGCTCGCCGTGCAAGAGTCGGAAAAGGTGCGGCTGCACCTGACGCTCAAGCAGCTCGAGGCGCGCATCAAGGGGTGCCACGAGAGCCTGATCCGGTGCAACCGCGACAAGGACCACCTGATCAAGGTGTACCGCAAGCTCGAGGGCGTCGTGAACACGGCCGTGGCGTCGGTGCCCGCGGCCAAGCAGCACAACCACGACGTGCACCTCACGCTCGAGGCGACCGAGCGCGAGAGCAAGCACTACCGCGACGCGGTGCGCGCGCTGCGCAAGGAGATCGAGATCCTCATGCACAGCTTCATCGAGGGCGAGCGGCACGCCGCCGGCGACAAGGAGCTGCTGGCGACGCGCATCGAGACGAACCGCGAGATCGAGTCGGCCATCGACGCCATGAACAAGGAGCTCGAGGCCATCGACCGCAGCATCGTCTACTCCAAGTACGAGCGCGAGATGAAGGCGCGCGAGCTGCTGCGCATGGAGGCCAAGGCGCGCAAGGGCCGCGAGGACGCGCAGACGCGCGAGATGGAGGTGCTCGACGCGACCAAGAAGAGCCAGGAGGCGCAGGTCCGGCTCACCGAGTTTGCCGCGCTGTACGACAAGGTCAAGAACGAGCGCAACCGCTACGTCAACCTGATCGCCAGCTCGCAGCAGCGCGCTATGGAGATGAAGGAGAAGAGCCGGATCCTGCGGTCCGAGGTCGAGATCCTGCGCAACGAGATCGCGCACAAGGACCGCGAGCTCGCCAAGAAGCGCCAGGAGAACAACGCGGCCTACTCGCAGCGCGACAACTCCAAGATGGAGGCCAACCGCCTGCTCGTCCAGTACCGCGACAAGCGGTCGCTCATCGACCAGCAGACGGGCCGCATCGACACGCTCTCCAACTCGCTGTCCAACTGCGCGGGCGAGCTCGCGACGCTCAAGGCGCGGTACGAGCAGGTCGTCAACGAGCGCAACGCGGCCGGGCTCCAGTACCTCGAGCGCAACGACGAGCTGTGCATGCTGTACGAGCGCAACAACATCCAGGAGCGCGTCATGACGCACGGCGAGGAGGAGCTCGTCGACCTCGAGGACCGCATCCGCCAGCTCTCGCTCATGTGCAAGGAGCTCCGCCGATCCGTGCTCGTCCGCGAGAAGCAGCTGCCCGTTGTCGACCAGCTCAAGGCCGAGTACGAGTCGCTCAAGTCGCAGGTGCACGAGGCCAAGGCCCAGGTCCTCGAGCTGTCCAAGATCATGGGTACGCGTCGTCGGCCGCGCTCAATTCCACTCATACTGATAACTTAATCACGCTTCGTGTAGAGTCGCCCGACAAGAGCCGCGTGCGCGACCTCAAGGGCGAGGACCCGCCGCAGGAAGCGCTGAACGCGCGCGTGCACAAGCTCGAGATGCGGCTCGCGCAGCAGGAAGAGAAGCTGCTCGAAAAGGACCTGATCCTCGAGGAGATCGCGCACCTCACTGAGCGGCTGCGCTCGCAGGCGCAGCAAGGCCGCAAGGAGAGCTCGCAGGTCATGGGTCGCATGAACCAGGTCTCGCGCAAGCTGTCGCAGGTGTCGCGCACCATGATGGGCCTCGTGGCCGAGATCTCGATTGCCAAGACGCTGGCCATGGCGCTGCAGGCCGAGGTCGACGGCAAGCGCAGCCTGCTTGAGCAGGTCCAGGCCGCGGTGCGGTTCACGGACCCGCTCGACGCGCACGCGGCGCTCGAGGAGCCGCTGGCCATGTCCGTGCCCGACCTCGACGCCGAGTGGCAGCGCATGGAGTCGAAGCGTGAGCAGCGCATCGAGCAGGCGAAGCGGACGCACAAGGGCAAAAAGGCGGCCGCGGCCACGGCGCGCGGGCTTGACGGCCAGGAGGGCGACTGGACGCTGCTGCCCGACTTTGACAACCCGACGTTCCTCATGCCGAACGGGACCAAGACGACGGCCGAGCCGCGACCGAACGCGTACCTCCCGCCGCTCGCCGAGGCGCTGCCCGTGGCCAAGCCGTACGGCGCGCACGCACCGTTCAAGCCGTCCGAAAACCTTATGTCCGCGTCGGCCGGCGGCAACCTCAAGTACTACCGGAAACCCGTTGTCAAGGAGATTGAGATTTAGAGAGTGCTGTATAGACATGTATTCACAGGTAGACCCCGACC